AAAAAAAAAAATCAATAAAATATATTTTAAAAAATTTTATCTGCAGAATAAATGTAGAGATACCAAGAAATTTCATTTATTCTTTACTTTACTAGTAAGAATAGGTAGGTGTATCAGTCAGCTATTGCTACACAACCCACAACTCAATGGCTAAAATAACAACATACCGGGTGAGGCAAAAGAAGGTTTATAGTTGTTCATATGGAAAACAGTACAATAATTAATAAATAATAATACAATAATAAACTCTATCTTCCATACTCACAATGGTAAAACTGCTTTGCCTCACCCTGTCTATTGCTAATGTGTCGGTAGTTAAGCAGATAGTTGACTAATATAGACTGGATTCACTGGGTGTCTCTGCATCAGGCTACATGTCCATCTGGATTTGTCTCTTTGTGGTATTGCCAGAGGAACTAGGATCCTTCCATGGTATCACAGAACATGCATTTGAGGAACGCACACATAGGAGGATTTGAGGGGAAAAAAGAACTGCCCCCAGGTACACCATGCCCGATGCCTCACCCCTGACTCAGCTCCATCTCACTGCAGAAGTGCAGCCTCTGGGGCCACAGCCACACACTTGTCCCCACCAGGCCCAGGGGGAGGTCAGGATCCAGAGCTGCAGTACATGAGCCCAGCACAGCTTCTGTCCCCCTCTGGCTCGCAATTGGTGCTGCATTGGTCCGTCTCTCTCTCTCTCTCTCTCTCTCTCTCTCTCTCTCTCTCTCTCTCACTTTAGAAACATTAGTTTAGCTACTTGGTCTTGGTTTGGATAGTGACAGGATTTTGACAAGTCGCTTAATATCCTGGCAATTAGTTTCTTTAAAAATGCCTTCCAACTACAAGTGCCTGTGAGTTTAGAGCTGGTCCATTGGCAACACTTATGAGCTACCAGGATCATCAATAAATTATTCTGGGAACAAAGATAGCTTATGATCAAACCCCCAAATGACAGAAGGCATCTTCAGAATCAAGTCAAATGTCCTCATTTTAGAGATAAGGAAACTGAAGCTAAGAGTGATTGATTACTCAATTTGCCCATAATTGCAGATAGTAATAGAGCTTAAGGGAAAAGGCATATATTCCTATAGGAAATGTAATATTGCCTTTAAGTTATTAAATTGTGTGTGTGTGTAAGTAAACTCTCACACCTATACATAGAAGATATATATTAAGTTGAACCATATGAAACTGCTATTTTTGTAGCATCAACAATTGTCATATATCAAGTACATATGTTTCAACATAGTTGAGAAATTATCAGCACTGTTTGTGAAATCAAAAACAGTGCAAATTACCCAGATGTTCATCAACAATAAAACAAAAACGAATTGTGAGATAGTCATATGGTGGGACCCCTAGAACAGTGGGGAAATGTCAAACCCACATGCATCTACATCCATCTCAAAGACAAGCAAGTCACCAGAGTATACATACAGAATGATTCTATTGTGCAAAAACAGGCAAAACTAAATTTATTATTTGAAAATATAATCTCACGGGGAAAGCTTTTTAAGCAAAGGAGAATCAGGATGGTCGTTACGTCTGAGGGGTACTGTTTCATTTCTTAAATTGGGTGGTTGATTCATTGGTGTCTATTGAATTGTTTTTCTTTATAACGACACATATTTTCTAAATATTAATTACTTTAGAGATAAATATTTATCTCCGGGTTGGCTCAGTGGATAGAGCATTGGCCTTCAGACTTAGTAAAGGTCCCAGGCTCGATTCCGGTCAAGGGCATGTACCTTGGTTGCGGGCACATCCTCAGTGAAGGGTTGCAAGAGGCCATTGATTATTCTCTCCCATGGATGTTTTTAATTCTCTATCCCTCTCTCTTCCTCTCTGTAAAAAAAAATCAAAAAAATATATTTAAAAATAAATAAATATTAATTACTTAATATTTAGAAAACTAAGTAATAACAACACCAAAGAACTAATGTATGCTCCTTGCCAGCAGGAGTATAAGTCAGTACAGTCACTTTAGAGGGCTATTGACAATGTCTATTAAAATGAAAAATAATGAATGTAATAGACTTTCTCTTTCTGCGTCAAATAAAATTTGGATTAAATTCCCCCTATAATTACTTTGCTCACACACATCTTAAAAAGCCAACTCTGATATGGAGATTTTTCTGATTCCTCTGGGGGGACACTCCAAAGCTCCTGCCCACACATCCTGTTTCTCCCTTCTCTCCCCTGCTGCTCTCCACTCCACACCCACCAACTCACCAACCACTCCCTCCCTCCCGCCTTCAGTCACATCTGCTGCAGTCTCTCTCCTTAACATACACCCAAAACATAAAATAAGTGAAGTTCTAAGGTCAGTAACTAAACAAGATTTTCATTATTTGGCCTGCCATAAAACATGCAGCTTTAACGCCTGCCACTTACAATGAGAACTTACAAAATGCAACCAAGATTATTTGCTCTCCCTTATCACCCTCTGCCCCCACACCCCCTAAAATGTCGAAACATTTTGCTGTGTCAACAGCTTAAAAAGAATATTGTTTCCCTGGAATGAGGTCCACCCACACTGTTTTCAGAGATGAAGTTTTGGAATGGTTATGTTTCTACACAGTAATGTAGCCATGGAATCTACTAGAAAGTCAATTACATGTTTTCTCATGAATTAAACCAATTGAAATTTTTACTATTAAAAACTACTTTTCATTCTTGGGGTTTAAAGGAAATGAACAGTGCCCAGAACAGTTCTAGTTTGTCTGAAAATTTACTGCAGTTCTTAGTAAGACAACCTGACTGAAAATTTGTCAATGAACTAGAATATCTTTGAAATAATACAATTTTTATCAGAATATAAGTTTGGTCTCAGAATCTATACTCTATCTCTGAATCAAAGTTGATTCATCTTCAAGTTGCAGAAATAAATGAAATAATAATCATGGAAAGCTTAAATTCACATTTTTTTAAACCTTTTTCTAGACCTAGACTCTTTGTTGCTTCATAACTTTATATGTGATAAAATTCAGATTTCTTCATAATGTTTGACAGGGAAACATCCATCCAATTATTAAAGTTTTGTTGGTAAGACATCATTTGATCAAACTGATTTTGTTTTTATTTTTGTTTTTAATTTGTTATACATTCTTAAGATTTTTGAGACATAAAACTAATTTTTTTTGTTCAATTCTAAAATTGTTACTTGATTAATTTTTCGTTGCCCTTTTTTATTTAGGGTCATTCAAAATGTGGAAATATGACTTTATAATGAAAAAAAAGTTGAGATAGTAAAGAAATCTAAAATCTAATCACCTGTTGACAGCTTTTCAAATCGAGTACAGATTACAAAAAGTTTGCAATATAGTGTAAAATGTTTTCATTTATTGTTTTGGTGTTTAGCCTTAAAATTCCAAGGTATTTATATAATGAAATGTGGAAGCCAAACAGAAACATGTAGTTTTTTCTGGGCAGCATGCAAAGGTGATTTCTTTCCTGGGTTCTTGTCCAGGTAGATTCGAAGAATGAAACCACGGACAAAAGGTGATATATGAAAAGCTAGAAATTTATTGGGAACAAGTACAAACTCCCATGTGGAGAGGAGGTCCCCATAGGGGTAGTCCACTAAGCCCCATTTCCTAAGGCTTATAAAGGCTGCAGTTCTTTGTCTTTTGATGCTCCCTTCTTATTGGTCACTATAGCAGCTACCAAGCTCAAACTCTACGTGGGGATCCTCTTTTTCTGTCCCCACTTCTGTGGAAGAAATCTCTACACCTTGTGAAAATCTGTTTTCCTCTTTCTCTCTTTGTTTCTCCACTCCCTATGTCTTTGCCCTTATCTTCTGCGAATGGGTGTCTTCCTCTCCTCCTATTCTGTTCTTTGTGAATTTATGCCTTTTGCCAGCTTCAAGTTACCAACCATTTGTGCCTCCTTTCCCTCCTAAGACTCCCTAAACCTGACTATTTTACCCCTAAAAACTTCTTTCAATAATAATGGATTGTGTTCAGTAACTTTACATGGTTCAAATATATATATTATATGGCAGAATGACCAGAATGACTGGTTGCTATTATGTGCCCTGAGCAGGCAGGCAGGTGAGCAGTTAGAGGCGAGCAGGCAGGCAGGCAGGCAGGTGAGCTGTTAGGACGAGCAGTCCTGGATTGCGAGAGGGATGTCTGACTACCAATTTAGGTCTGATCCCTGTGGATCGGGCCTAAACCAGCAGTCAGACATCCCCTGAGGGGTCCTGGATTGCAAGAGGCACAGGCCAGGCTGAGGGACACATTCTCTGCCTCCTTCCTTCTCCTCCCCTCTCCCCTCCCCCCCGACCCCTGGCACTAATTTTTTGTAGCAGGCCTCTAGTTCTAAAGTAAAGCCTAAAGATGGTGAAATCATTTTTCTCTTAGATTCTTTTTTATTTAGGGGAAGGTGGGTTAGTGGGCCTGAGAAATCATTCCCTTCAGGAAATGTGGTAAAAAGTGCACATTCATACCCCATCAAATGCGTTAAATTCTTGTAAAGTAGTGAATTCTGGACCAATGGATTGCTGTTCCCTTTCCCTACATTCAGGTGTCACAGACACTGCTTTCCATGAGACAGACTGACACACTGAGAAGGAGAGAAGTGGGTGTGTGTGTGTGTGTGTGTGTGTGTGTGTGTGTGTGTGTGTATGGGGGGGAGGGGAGAGAACTGTGATGAATTTCTGGAGCAGGTTACTGCTTTTCTAGAACAAAGAACCAATCTTTGCCAAAAGTTTCCAGTTTATAAGAGGAATCCAGACTCTGACGCACAATCTCTCCTATTTAAATGATAAAAAAAAAAACTAAACAAATTTATAGATTTTTTTTTTTAGAACCGGTGTCCGCCAAATCGAGCAGGTGCACGGGCCTGAGGACCACTTTCTGGGCACTTCCCTTCCTGCAATAGAAAACGGAGTTTCAGTGCTATCCACTCGAGTTCCTCTTTCTTGCAGAAGCGGAGTGAACACGAATGCACCTCCCTTTCGTTTGCTGACATTTTCTGATTTCCTTTCGTTCCAGGCTACGTGCTGTCTTTGGTCTGTCCAAACTCTTCCCAGGCTTGGTGTGAGATCACCAACGTGTCACAGCTGCTGGCTTCGCCTGTCCTCTACAAGGACCCGAACGCCAGCCTAACCAACTTGAGCATTTCCGCAAACGCAGAAAACAAATACAGCCTTTATGTGGGCCTGGGCCTGGCAGTAAGTTCCAGTATTTTTATTGGCTCCAGCTTCATACTGAAAAAGAAGGGCCTTTTGCAACTGGCCAACAAGGGCGTCACTAGAGCTGGTAAGAAACGGGTGCAGCTAACGCATTTCAAGTTGCTAACTGCAGAAATATACTGTGGCATCATCCTACTACTGTCTGTTTATTGTAGCTTCTATCTCCATTGGTTGCAGTTCTTTCCTCGGCCGTGTCCAGGATTGAACCAGCTGTGTCTCCTTTAGGGAAAGTCTGAAACTCTTGTTTCTAGAGGTTTGGAGTGTACTGCGGGTTCTTCATTTCATAGCTTTATTCTGCAGTTTCAGGAGACAAAGTCAGATCCTGCGCTCGGGATACAATCTAACATCTTCCCACAGACTCTGACCGCCTGCGTGAATTGGCCCTCGCTACCTCCCCAGGTTCATCTTCTGCTACGCTCCCAGTCACCTACTTTTCTCTGGATCCTGGAATGTACCAAGTTCTTTCTCACCTCAGCCTGGAACTCTTATCCCCCTGCCCTTCATTTGGCTGACTCCTCCTTGAGATCTCAGCTTAAATACCTTCACCCCAGAGGGGTTTTCCTTGACCACTCTCCCTAGGCAGGTCTCCCACCCTAGCCTGCTCTGTCCTTGCACCGATTTGTACCTAGAATAGTTTCATTGTACCTAGAATAGTTTGTCCTTGTACGTTTATTGTTTATGTACTTGTTGTCAATGGGTTTACTTCTTTATTAATAGTAGATTCATGCTGAAACCAGTTTGGCTCAGTGGATAGAGCATTGGCCTGTGGACTGAAAGGTCCCAGGTTCGATTCCTATCAAGGGCATGTACCTTGGTTGTGGGCACATCCCCAGTAGGGGGTGTGCAAGAGGCAGCTGATTGATGTTTCTAACTTTCTATCCCTCTCTCTTCCTCTCTGTAAAAACTCAATAAAATCTATTTTTTTAAAAATAGTAGATTCACAAGAACAGGAGCCTTCACTAACATAGTGTTTGCCACCCAATAAATATTGGTTAAATCAAATGGATAGTCATAGGATTAGGTTGCTAATAATACTGACATTTCACATGCTACATAGTTCTGCTTGGCTATCCTTCATTAACCATGAATTTCCTATTCATTCTTATCAAGAATAACATTGTAACAGAGCTAAATATTATTCTAAAGTTCACATGGAAAAATAAATAACTGCAAATTGTGCAAACAAGTTTATGAAAGCGTACTATTGAGGGGAGATTTATACCACCAGAAAATAGAATATGTGATGGTGCTATCTTAATTTAAAAAGACAAAACAATAAAAGATAATTAATAATGTATAAAGGGACCCAAGTACATACAACAATTTAATGTATGATTTTTTTTTTAAAGTGGCATTTTGAGCCACTGGAAAAAGGATGTATTATTCATTAAAAAGTATTGAGACAATTGATAAAAATTAGAGGAGGAAAATATAAAAGTTCTACTCTATACCATTCATCAAAATAAATAATACATAGGTTAGAGTTAAATTTAAAAAAAAACATAAAAGAAGGCCTTTCTAAGCATAGAGATGAAGAAACTATTCTATAAAGCAGTTTTTCCCAAACTTTTGACATATGTGTACCCCTTCTATAATTTTCATAACGCTGAGTACCCTTTGTACTCATGAGAATGTAGAATTAGGTGCAGCTAAGCACGGTGCAGTGCATATCCCCACCAAACTCTGGTGCAACGCGTACCCCCACCAAACTCTTCCGGTACCCCTGGGGGTACGTGTACCACACTTTGGGAAACACTGCAAAGGAAGAGATGACCTATATTAAAAAAAAAAAAAATCTATATGGCAACACCTTTAACTGAACACCTGAACTAGAAAGAAAATGACTTGGGTAAAATATTGCAAAATACAATAGAAAGTGTTAGAGAATCTTTGGAAATGGCCACATAACTGGGCTAAAAGACTAAGTATACTGACATGGCCCTAATCTTCCAGTACCTAGAAGTCAATTCTCCAAACCTCTTTCACGTTAGAACTTAATTTTGCCCAGCCAGTGTGGCTCACTGGTTGGGCATTGACTTAAGAAACAGGAGATCATGGTTTAATTCCTAGTCAGGCTCGATCCTCAAAAAGGGTTGTACTGAACAATGATTCTCTCTCATCATTGATGTTTCTATCTCTCCCTCTCCCTTTCTGAAATCAATAAAAATATATTTTTTAAATAACTTATTTTTCATTTTTATTATTTTCGTAGGTCAAGGTGGACACTCTTACCTCAAGGAATGGCTCTGGTGGGCAGGATTACTCTCAAGTAAGTCCTTAATGCTGAAATGTTTGCTTGCAAAATGATAAATAGATTACATGGAATTATTTAAAATTGATTGATTTAACTGCCTGGTAAGGATGGCATTTAAGTCTAGCAACTTTTGCAAATATAACATATTGCCTTATCTATAAAATAAGTCATATTTATTTAGAATTTATTTTAACTCTTTTTCCTCACCACCCTGTTCTCAATACTGTCTTGGGATGCAAAGGGAAAAGTTAACATTTAAGATATTATAATTTATCATGGAGTTCTCTTTCTCTTATTCTGTTCTCCATAATAATTGAAGAGAATGCTTTCCTTCCACATTTTCCCAGTTCTGAATTAAAATTTGGGACTATTCTAGTTGCGTGTTTTCTAAGGAATAGGTACATTTTCCTGGCCAGGACCAAAACATGGATAAATTCAAGTCTCCTCTGGCTGCTTAGCAACTAAACAAATAGAACAGTCATTTTCACTCGGTGTGCCACAAGAATTTTTGAAACAGGCAGTACCTGACCATTTTGTCAAAGGTGCTGACCTCCTTTCCCTTAGATTGTCAAAGAAATAAATAAAAAAATGACAACAGCCAACACAACAATAGCCATTTGGTGTGAATGAATCAAAAGTATACCTATTTTCTCTATCAGACGGGCAAAAAATAGATGTGTTTTAGGTACTGAAGAATTTTAGCAATTAGTTTATGTGTGCCAGGAGATGAAAAAGGTTGAACATCACTGAGAGAGAGAGATGGAGGTTGTCGGCACTCCTCTTCCTCCTAAACGTGCTGAAAATTAAACGGGACTCTGTAGCATCTGAAAGCTCTTTCTAAACGCCAAGGTGATGTCCAAATAGAAGGCATTTACCTCCCTCAGGCCCCTCTGCAGATTTCTACCTTCCTCCTCATGCCTCTGAACTTTCTTAAACCCCTAAGACTTCCAAAGAAAGGGCCTCATACACTGCAGTTTCACACCAGTTGCTCATCATCTGCATCTGTAGCCAGGAACCTGAAAACTTCCATTTATTTTCCTGTACTATTGCTATATCTGTGAGATCCTGTTATAGGAAAGAATTAGAATACTTTTCACAAACGGCAGAATCTAAAAAGATGATGAATGAAAATAAATTCATACAGCCCTTTATCTTCTTGAAAAGTCATCTATAAAGATAAAAATATAAAGTATTCAAGAAAGCTTAAGATTCTGCCAAAACTGGTTTGGCTCAGTGGATAGAGCGTCGGCCTGTAGACTGAAAGGTCCCAGGTTCAATTCCAGTCAAGGGCATGTACCTTGATTGTGGGCACATCTTTAGTAGGGGGGTGTGCAGGAGGCAGCTGATCGATGTTTCTCTCTTATTGATGTTTCTAACTCTCTATCCTCTCAATTCCTCTCTGTAAAAACTCAATAAAATAACAGAAAAAGATTCTTCTAAAAATTTGCCATTGCTCTTCTTATGAGAGGAGTCTCCTAATTATTTCTATTTGTCTTATCATGTTTTCTTAAAGCTAAGTACTCCCGTACATTTGGCTGTGGGTGGGGGACTGGAGCCTAGCAGCCAGAGGAGAGGGAAAAAAAAAAAAAAAAAAAAGACGCTGGTGTCTTTCATCTGTTCCAGAAGTTTCTCTACAATAAGTTTATTTTGCGTAGTTGGCCAGCGTGAAATACTACATTCCGTGGGCAAGTGTTCAGTGTTCAGTTGTGACCCATGAGAATAATTTGGCCCCAAATAGAGGACCCAGCTCTTAAAGGGGTTTTCTCTCACTCTAGAAGCTATTTGCATCACAGTAGCTCATGGGAGTTTAGAGTTCCTCAGCTAAGAAAGGGGTTGCTGGAGCACATTATTATGACTTTAAAATGGGTGCTTGGATCTCCCTGAGCTACTAAGATAGTCTTACATTCTTGTAGGTCATCTGCAATGCAGAGAAGCCTGGCTACCTGGGCCTGTGGTGGGCATGTCTGGCTGTCCCCTGCCTAGGCAGTAGATCTCTCCTGGGCATTCCAATTTTAGGAGTTGCTTTATTGTTAATTTGCATAACAGTAAGTATTCTTGAGCAAACAGAATAATTCTCTGCTTACTCCAAAGCCACCTCTACTAGACTTCATCAGTGACCATGTACGTTTCTGGTACTGAAGTAACTAAAATCTTTATTGAAAGTCATTTAAAACGTGTATCCATCACCCCCTTTTGTGTTTGTTGAGCTTTTATGACCAGGTAATTATGGCTTAACTGCATCCCTATGACCAATCTTCCCCCTCCCTCCCTAAAAAAGAGTTCATTCTTCCTTTTTGTTCAACTTATGAGTGTCTGTGGGATCATAGTCCACGGCTTTGCATCTGTCGTTTGTTTTTCTCTCCTGACAAAAAGTCCGTCTTTTATATTAACGTTGCTGCTTGCTTTCCAGTGGGAGCAGGAGAGGCTGCAAACTTTGCGGCTTACGCTTTTGCACCTGCCACGTTGGTCACGCCCCTGGGCGCGCTGAGCGTTCTCATCAGGTACGTGAGCCATGAAGAGTGTGGCTTCTGTAGGGATTTGAAAACCATGATAAGCTTAACCCACAAGAAATATATTGCTAAGCACATCGCAAAACAAAATCTAGAAATCACAGAATTTGAGAAGACTACACAATAAAGTGTAGGAGAAATAAGGAATAGTCTGCCTTATTGTTTTTTAGAAAACCTATGAGAGTGAGCTTGGTTTGCTGCTAACAAAGTAATTGTGTGTTATGCTTGTGACGATTCAACGAAGCAGTTTGGTTTTCTCTCTCTCTCTCTCTCTCTCTCTCTCTCTCTCTCTCTCTCTCTCTCTCTCTCTCTCTCTATCTGTCTTACCTGAACAAATTGCCACAGCCCTTTTAATCCTCTCTGTTGTCATAGCGGTCAATGACCATTGCTATTAGAGAACTTTTAAGAAGCCTAGTGTTTGGGTTAAATTTCAACTCTTGTTGAAAGTCTTGCATCTACGACTGGATACTTCTGTTTGGAGGTCTCTGTTTCTCTTAGTGCTGGGAACAGGAAAAATTTCCCGTTCATAGGATGGGGATCTAATCCTTCTGGGTTAGTCTTTCTTATGATCCCAAATGGATGTGTCCCATGAACCCAGGAACTCTTATTTTGTAGCTAAGCAACTATTTTGTTTGTTTTCTTTTTCTTCTTTTCCTTTTATCTGCATTCATTACCAACCTCTGGTAGAAAGGTTAGGACTAGGCCTACTCACTTCTTCCCACCTTCTTTGTGGGATTGTTTTGAGAACTCAGTGAGTCAGTGCCCATAAAGCACTAGAACCCTGTCTATACAATGAAGGACGGCTATGTTTTTGCTGAGGGTGAAGACCTTACAGGTGACCACAGCAGGGCGACTCTTAGGAAACACCTGATAACTGACCAGTCTTGTGTGCAAATGGGTACTGGGTACTATCCTGATGGGAATGCCAGGGTATCAGGAAGGAAGCTGGTGTGCAGGAGCCACAGCATACCGACTGGTGAGGCCGCAGGATGGCACCGTCTGGTGTCCATGGTGTCGTTAACCTGGAACTGCCTGAAACCATGGCAACCAAAGTAGTGGGAGCATTTGGTAGGTGAAGGTATCAGGGCAGGAGCAGCTGGTAAGAAGATATTTCAATATTTTGACAACCCATATGATTGTACTTATGTGTTCTAGCTAAATATCAATCCTGAGCAGAGTCAATCTTTAAGCATAGATCTTTCTTTGAAGTTTTCATGAACATGTGTATTCTAAGTGTACCATGCCAATAAGATGGAGAAGGTGGAAAAGTTGAAAATGAATTGAGTGGGCCCTCTTTAGGGGTCATGGAAAGTTTAGAGGAGTATATCAATAGAATGTCTTTTAATTCTTTTTTAAAAAAAATATATTTTATTGATTTTTTACAGAGAGGAAGAGAGAGGGATAGAGAGTTACAAAACATCGATGAGATAGAATCATCGATCAGCTGCCTCTTGCACACCCCCTACCGGGAATGTGCCCGCAACCAAGGTACATGCCCTTGACCGGAATCGAACCTGGGACCTTTCAGTCCACAGGCCGACGCTCTATCCACTGAGCCAAACCGGTTTTGGCTAATTCTTTAGATATAAAAGCAATTAAGCAGATAGGATCGACCATCATTTCTGTGTTTTAAAACTAATCAGGGTTTTCCGTGTCGCATAGCACATTCAGATCAGTTGATTGGGATACAGTGGCTTGTGCCACAGGGTGACTTCTGAACTGCTATGGAATCAAAAGATAACTGAATAAGAGTGATTTATTTTTCTTCTCCCAACAGTGCAATATTATCTTCCTATTTTTTAAATGAGCACTTGAACATTCATGGGAAAGTAGGCTGCATATTAAGTATATTGGGGTCGACTGTGATGGTGATCCACGCCCCACAGGAAGAGGAAGTCGCTTCGTTGCATGAAATGGAAATGAAATTGAGAGACCCAGGTCTGTGCTTCAACCAAAAGAAACACTTACATTCTGCTCCACTTTCTCTGTTCATCAAATGCATTTATAATAATATTGCAATAGGCTTCTTCCAATCCAAGTCGTGCCTTGAGAGACAGTTAAGTTTCACTGAGTATTACAAGTCTTCTGACAAGGTAACACAACTTACTTTTGTGTTCATGCTTTCCCTCTACACAATGAAACAAAGACATGGTGAAAGGAGAGGCTAAAGACATGCTCCACCCCAAATTTGGTTACTCCTCTAAAAATAAAAAGTCAATCAGGCAGTATCTTCCATGCCTCATAGTATTTTCTTTGAGATTCCAATGACATGTTTGGGAAAGTCCATTGTAAAATATAAACAGCTATGCAGTCCAGTGTTATTGTTTTTTTCATTTATTCTCACTTCTCTTTCTAAAACACCTGTGCACCTAAACTCCTGACTAATAATACTTCACAGAGACATGATCTTCTGAGCATTTTCTGAAGTCTGATTCTTTTCTCTTTCTAACAGGATTCATTTCCTTTGCTGTGGTCATTATCCTGATCGCCTTGGTGCTGATTTTGATCGTGGCTCCCAAGAAAGGACAGACCAACATCTTAGTCTACATTTCCATCTGCTCGTTGATCGGAGCATTTTCAGTGTCTTCTGTGAAGGGCCTGGGAATTGCCATTAAAGAACTACTGGAATGGAAGCCAGTGTACAAGAATCCCCTGGTCTTTGTTTTGCTGGCTGTGCTTGTGCTTTCAGTGACGACACAGATTAACTATCTCAACAAGGCCCTGGACACCTTTAACACCTCTCTTGTGACTCCCATTTACTATGTGTTCTTTACGTCCATGGTAGTGACGTGCTCTGCCATCTTGTTCCAAGAATGGTATGGCATGACAGCTGGAGATATCATCGGGACCCTGAGTGGGTTCTTCACCATTATCAACGGCATCTTTCTTCTACATGCTTTTAAAAACACGGACATCACCTGGAGTGACCTGACATCCACCACTCAGAAAGAAGCCCCCTCTCTGAATGGCAATGAAGACAACAAGTATGTCTTACTAGAGAATATAGACTGTTCAACCTCGGGATATGAGGATGACATTACCTTGTTTAGCAGGACTCATGAATGATCAAAGTCTCTACAAACATTGAGCTTGGACCATTCAGAGACACTGGAAGAGTAGAAGCAATATAGCTGCAAAACTATTAGGAAAGCTGACATTTTTAAGGTTCTACTTAGTAATTTAGATATAAGGCCAAATTTAAAAAAATGCCTTCATTTTTGGCCATCATCTTTGAAAAAAAAATCAAGATTTTGGTCATCCTCTAGAAGACTTCTGTTGTTTCTCATTTCTGCAAACTTGAAATCTCTTTCTCTGGTCACAGTATATTTGGCCTGGCCAGGTGGCTCTTCATTTCATTGGCTGCTAGTCTTGGTTTCATAGTAATTAATAGATAACTGTGTGCTGATAAGCAGAGTACCAGTCATTCTCTGATGAGTCATAGTTTCAAATTCTTGAAACTGAGAAGTGAGATCACTGATGTTTTTCCTCCCCTTCCAACTTCGTTTAGCTAAACTGGATGGTAGCTGAAGGGTAGAATGTTAAAGAGAAGAATTGGCGTGCTCTGGACATCTGTTCCTGTTGTGTTAGAAGGCAAAGAAATATGTGTCCATGAAGAGCTATGGATTGTAATTATAATTTATTGACATATCATAGAAGCTTATTACCAAATAAAAAGGGGGAAATGGAGGAGGGAAATATTTTATACCTTAAGTAAAGGAAACATTTTTTTTCTTTTCAAATGTTTAATTCCCAAAGGGTGGGTTTTCCACAAACTATTTGGAAAGAACTAAAAGAATCTTTGTGGAAAACCTGAATGAGTTATAATAATCATCGTCTTGAAATTTAGCACTTTCTAGCTTTTTAAGGAAATTATAATTAGTTGCAAACCTTTTTGAAAATATACATATCCTACCACAATAAGTGGTAGATTGTCTCTTTCTGTTGAATCTCACCCTGACCATGTTTTCTGTATATTTTATCTGTAATTGTTTTGGAAGAATAAGAAGGGGGTAGGGGGTTACTTTCCTAGAAAATAAAACATTAAGACCTCAGGAATCACTACCAGAACAAATGTTTTATGCATTGAAACTTACCTAACGTGTTCCGGTTTCCAAGTGCATAGCAGGAATAACACTTTTCATGGTCTTTAATGTTTTTTGGTGTTTGTTTTTTTTTTTAATTTATTGATCTTTTACAAAGTGGAAGGGAGAGGGATAGAGAGCTAGAAACATCGATGAGAGAGAAACATCAACCAGCTGCCTCCTGCACACTCCCTACCAGGGGTGTGCCTGCAACCAAGGTACATGCCCTTAACCGGAATCAAACCCGGGACCTTTCAATCCGCAGACCAGTGCTCTATCCGGCGTTCCGGCATTCTTTAATGTTTATGGACAGATTTCTGATCACTCATTGATTTAATAGAAAAGGAGAAATTAGCTGCCTTCTGAACTTACTTCTCTCAAAATAAAACAAAAATCCTAACAAAAAAAAAAAAAAACACTGACATTCAAAAAACAAAAACCCTTCTGGTCAACTGCATTTACATGTTCTAAAATCAAAGGTATGTGATTTTGTTTGTTTGCAATTTAGCTCATGTTATTCAGAATTCTGTTAAACTGACTTTTGCCCTTCACCAGTTCTACTGAACTATCACTGATGTCGCAGTGACAACCTGAGGTGACTGGCGAGTCCTAAGGTACTGTTACCATCTCTTCAGCAATTTAGTGTGGAGTGTAGCTCCGTGTGTTCTAGGTTTCTGAAAATTGATAAACCATGGAAGATACACAGGTTGATACCTCAGGTCAAATATGTGTTTACTGTATTGACTGCTGTTTCATTGTAATTGTATATCAGATATATAAGCTATGAAATCTATATACAACTTTGTAAGAAAAGGTAGTGTTTGAAAAATGTAGGCATTCTTTAAACATTTTTTTCTATTGAAAACTTTATTGGTTTATCCTTCTTGGTGAGGAAATTAATGGCATCCACACTGAGGCTGTGAATTTCAGTGTCAGATGTTTCTTAAATGTCAGCTGTTACAAAGCTTTGCCCTTGGGTGTATTGTGTTTAGGTTGAAGGTACTTGGAACACAAGAACCATGTGTACCCTGGATTGGAAAATAAACTGGTATTGACATATATGCCCGCGAGAAAGACTGAGAAAAATAGAATGAGTTGAAATACGTTGAGAAATAATGAAATATTTCAAATATTAAAAATCCTTGATGGACATTTTCAATATGCATTGAAAAACTAAAATGTTATTGCAAACTTTAAATTCAGAATAAATTTCTCCAAATAGGGATATATTGTCTGAGGATGCTGGATCCCCATTTTCAGACTAACTATGTTAGTCTTAACTGGAAGTTTCATGTATGTATATATTTAAAATACACACTTTCTTTATCTCATATAGATGATATTTGAAGGTTTATTATGTGAATATCTGCACTTGTGTCATTAAGGATTACAAAGTTGTCCTCACACAGCCATATTGAAAGCTTTTCCTAATTCTGTAAATATCATAGTTTCATTTTACTTTTGGTCTTGTAATTTTATTCTTAGGTCAATGGTTAATGATTTTATTTTTAGTTCAGATTGCAAAATATTCATAAACTCGTTTAGCTTTGGTAACATAAAATTAACACCTTTATTTTAAGGGTACTAAATTAAATACATGGAAAGCACCCTACATCATTCATGTCTATTAGATGAGGCAATTAATAAAATTTAATTCTCTTTGAATCAATATCTTACAGTCTTATTACTAGACAGGTAAGGACCATTCATTGCCAGTTTTCATACATTCTTCATCTTTTCTCAGTGTGTGTCACAGTAACTCATTTTAAGTAATTCAAATGAAAATGAATTCCATTAGTATACTATCTAAACACAAACCAATATAAAAGAATTCCAACAGAAATATATATATATATTTTTAATAAAAATGAACTAACTGCAACCTTCACATTCCAACCAAACTTTGTGGAAAAGTAATTTATATGAATATATGTGAAATGTCCTCAGATCTGTGGTGATGACGTTTTCTATTTTTCAAATGTTTATAAATACTGTTTATTTTAAAAAGTTTACAAGTTTTAAATTTATATTTCTGTATATTTTTCATTTTCAATAAAATAATGTGGTTTAATTATGCTTGTTGCAGTTCAGTTTTTAGTTTATTGAGGTTAAGTTTATGTAATGGCAAAATTATCCCCATTTAGTTTTTGGTTACAAAAGAAAGTTTAGGTTAATTTTTTTTTTGGCATTTTCCTTGAAATTCAAGCCTATTTTTTAGAAATGACTCTCCACAAACCATCTTCCATATAACTGACTCATCTTTGGAACAAAAGGTAGGAGATAAATATCTCATCTTCCAATAATTTCATTGAATAAGATAGAAGCTCTAAGCAGTCAGTATAATGAAATTTCTCAGTCCAGAGATTTATAAGGAGGCGAAGAAAGCTTTATAAAAATATTTGGTAGTATCGCATTATATCAAAGTTTACATTTACAAACCTTACACAAATGGCCTCTAGCCCCTGTGTAACTAAAAGTTCACTTCATGTAGAGACCACATCACCATGACTTGATCAATTCTCCCTGATTTGATTAGGACTCGTGTTTGAGAACAACTTCCTCAGTTGTGTAGGGTAGAAAAGGCTTGGTTCTTACCTGTGTCCCATGCCCCCTTTTTCCTGCCATTTTATAAATAATACTAGAGGCTCAACATTCATGCACCGAGGGGGGAGCACCCCCCACCAGCCTGGTCGCCCGATGCAGACTGTTGTTCGGTCATGTGGTCACCCCGCCCTAACCCCCTGCTGGCCTAGCCTGCTGCTCAGTCATTTGGTCGCCCCTCACTACTTGCCCTACCAGCCTGGTCACCCCACGCAGCCTGTTCGGTCATCCATTTGGTTGCGATGGTCGCTTAGGCTTTTATTGTTATAGATACAGTTCCCTAAATCACATAGTTACCTAAGGCCAGAATGAGAACCAAAAATCCAAGTGTCCCAACACCCCAGACTACTCAATCCATGGAACATAGCCCTGTCTAAGAAGGGCTTGGAAAGGGCACATCTATCCCAGCAGAGTTAGAACAAACTGATTATTGCAAGCAAGTTGTTTGCATAGACAAATATTTCAGCACCCTGGCTGCAGTGTACAGGAAGCCATAGGTGAGCTTAAATTACAAAGAGTCTTAAATTGTATAACAAAGAGCAACATATTCTTTCCCAACTGAAAACGTGGATGGGCTGTCGCCTGCACACGTATGCACACACACACACACACACACACACACACACACACACAGTTTTTTGAAAGAGTTGACTATCTGAGCCACCTTTTTTCCACTTCAGTTACAAATCATGAAGCCCTTTCTTCTTATTATTTTCTTTTTTTTTTAATTTATTGATTTTTCACAGAGAGGAAGGGAGAGTGATAGAGAGCTAGAAACGTCGATGAGAGAGAAACATCAACCAGCTGCCTCCTGCACGGCCCCTACTTGGGATGTGCCCGCAACCAAGGTACATGCCCTTGACCGGAATCGAACCTGGGACCCTTCAGTCTGCAGACCGACGCTCTACCACTGAGCCAAACTGGTTTCGGCAAGCCCTTTCTTCTTAAGGGAAAACTGAATCTCTAGAAACACCATTATTGTAGGCGAAAGACTGAGTTAAAAGGCATTTTAGTTTTTATTTTTAGTTTTTTTAATACTCACTGAGGATATTTTCCCGTTGGTTTTTAGAGAAAGGGAGAGACAGAAAGACCCATGTGAGAGAAGCACATCAATTGTTTGCCTCCTGATCGGGCCCAACCAGGGCCCAGACTGAGAAAGAGCCTACAACCAAGGTACTTGCCCTTGACCCGAATTTTAGGACACTTTGGTCCACAGGCCGGTACTCTATTCACTGAGCCAAACAGGCTAGGGCAGTATTTTAGTTTTTATATGTAGACCATCCCTGTGGCTGGTGGGCAGAGGTGGGTAGGAATCTTTGCAGGCCTAGCTCTATCTACTGGCCTCAGGAGCTTGTCCAACCCTCGGGAGACAGATCTCACACC